GTATGAGCCAGAAGTTCTCATTTGCAGCCCACACACTGACACAGCATCCCTTTTTTTGTTCTCACATGTTCACAGTCAGTTACAAAGCCAACAGCACTTGCATGGCAGCTAAAAATGACTGTATATCTTCTTGATAAGGTGCTACACAATAATACTGCCATGCATATTTTTTAATGCTAATCTTTTTCTCCATAACTTTGACCCAGAGCAGATCCAAGCTCTGTTTATGACAGATCCTCATTTTCTGGATCCCTGCATAAATTGAAACTAAGGAAATGTAGAAAAAACCTGTCACAATTAGCATGCAGGGCTTATTAATATACATATGATAGGCAGTATACTATTTATTGTGCAACTGATAAATACCTGGAGCAAAATAAGGACCAGTGATTAAATTTGAGTGTGCATTTTTGTAACAAGTTTCATATTTTTAAGCAAGAGGGAAAAATGAATTTTCCACAGAACGTTTTGGTACTCCATGAAGTTGCCTTTCTATATAAAGAGCTCATTTATATTTGTTTCCCACATGCTTCCAAGAATGATGTAGCATCTGAAATTAAAAATATTTTTCAGTTACTATCTTATGAAGGCTGTCACTGATGACAAAACAGGCGAAGGAGAGAATTTTAAGCATGAATTTTTGCAGTTCCATAGAAGTACAGGTATAGAAGAAACTGTACATCTCATATATTGTAAAGCAGGAAAACATTTAGTTTACAAACAAGCAGAGAAGAAAAGCATAAGAGTAAAACACTACTGTATTCAATGGCTATTGAGAGGTAGCTCTACTTGTTGCCGAGTGGTTTTACCTTTTTTATGTGGCTGTCTTTTTTGTACGTATGTTTTTTGGTTTTACATGGGTGATTGAGGAAGAGGCCTCAGAAGCTGAAATCTGGCTTGCTGTCAACAGAGCAATTTTAAATTTAAGCACTGAATCAGTCAAAATGCAGTTTTGCTCCCACAGTAGTTCCCTTCTTGCAGAGTGGGAGCAACTAGAATCAGATTACTTAATGGCTCCAAAGGGCATATGTGGAATAGTTCAGGCCTAAAAACGAATCACCATAAACCAGTTTTTCTTTATTAAAGGCCTGGTTTGGGGACTTTAAATATTACTCTCATTATTGTTGAGCGCTTTGTAAAAGGGTTGTTTTTCATAGCATCCACAAAGAGGCCAAACTGTTTATTAAATTGTCCTACACGTACTCAGTGGCCCCAGTGCTTGCCAGTTTTAGCTGAAAGGTATGAGGCATGTCACTTATATTTCCAGATCATGTAATGATGATAATTTTGCAGAAAAGTACAGTCACACCAGAACAGAACATATTGCTCGACCTTTTGCTCAAGGGATTTCACGTCTTCTTGTAATAAGAGTAACAACTTTGCAGACGGGAGTATCTAAACACCAGGCTGAGAGCACAGCTGGGGACCCTTCAGATCCCTCCTCTCTGGTCCAACCCTTCCATCTGCTGGTCGGGATTCTCTCCTGCTTGTCTGAACTGTCACAGAAGATGTGATTACACAGATGTGGGTTTTTGAAACAAATTTAGTTTGTAAAACTTAGAAGAATCTCACCCTGATATACCAAAATAAATAAAGACATAAAAAAACCAATCCCAAACCCAACCAACCAAACAGAAGATGGAGCCAGAGAGCAGTTTTTAAAGCAAACTGCCAAAGATGAGGAATTCGGTTTGCTCCAACTCCTAAACTCCAAACAAGACTGAGAAATTGGAGAGAGTCCTCCAAGGCTCTGGTGCAGTACGAGGGCATGGAAAGAGGCTCCGCTGTGTGTGAATGCATCAGTCCAAACCAGCACAACTTCTTTCCTGAGGTCTTCTGTCCTCACCATGCATGAATACATAGGCCACTATTACTGCTCTTAGGCAGGCAGCCTAATTCTGCTCTATCCAAATCAAAAGAGTGAAAGTCAACCTGCATCAAGGATATGAAGGCCAAAACTAACAGACATTTCATTTACCATGGTGTCATGCCAAAACTTAGAGTAAGAGAAATGACACTAAGAAACGAAGATGAGGTAATGTTAATTCATTTTGCATTTTTCAGCTTGTTTTTCACTCTGTGTTACTGATGGATATACTTTTCCAAGAACGTTCAGATAATCCAAGCATACCTAGTAGCTACACTTCTTCGTGATTCAGAATTTATGTTAACAAGAAAAAGATCCTTTAAATGGTGTCGTCATATAAATTTTCTTCCATGTAAGTTCTGCAATTTCCTGCAAAAAGCAAATACCAGAGGAGCATCTAATAATTCTTATTCCTACAATTTTTTTTTTAATCCAGAAAAAGAACTGAATAAGATTGCTTTTCTTGGCTTCAAATTCATTTACTAAGTTGTCTTGCTTTCAGTCCTAGCAATATTTTTAATCCATGCAATCTGACCTGAAAGCTATGACAGATAATGAAAAAAGATTTTCTAGGAAGTATTTATAAGATTTATTTTCTTAATTTTTTTTCTGTTTACACAGGGAAACACTTTTCTGCACTACCCTAATTTTGCTTCTGTAGGTACTCATTAAACTTGATGTCTACAGCCATTCTAACTTTGAACTGTCATGCAAGACATGATTAGCTACTTTTTAAAGCAAATGTAGTTCATAAAACTTCTAACTAAAGTATTTTTGTCCATTAGTTTTTGTCATTATAGGAAAACTGTTTTTTAAAAGTTTTTGATAGTATTGTGTGTGACAGTGGTAGATCTAGTCTTATTGGTAATTTCAATGCCTTTTCCACCATCGCAACCCTTTTAGCCTGTCAGGTAAAATGGAGGATGAAGCTTCAGGTTCTCACTTTGAAATCTTTCTATTTCTTCTTTGCTTCCCTTCCTCCTCTCACCAAGTTTCCATCCATTACTTTTTCTTCCCTCAGTCATAATAAAATTGCTTCTGTGTGCAATAATTTCCCAACAATATTTCCCCATCTCATCAGGGAGAGTAGAGCAGTGACTTCAAGTTTGCACACCTGGTAAAATGATGGACTAGACCTCAGGACACCTTTCTATTATTCAAGTACTTTCCTGGTTTTGCAGAGGAAATCACCATTACAGATAAGCTTTAAAAAATGCCCTTAAGAATTTTATCTTGAATGGCTGCTGGATCCTCACTTGCATTGTGTTGTCCTTTTTTTTTTCCTTCCCCTCTCCCCAAAAGGTAACTTATTTCTGAAGATCAAACACTTACCTGAAGCATATATTTGATTTCAGCATGTTATTATTTGACTTTGGTCCAAAATGCATGCCCACCTATCAGTGTTTTCCTCCAAAGAGCGTCTTAAACCTTGAAGGGCTAGTTGGACCTGAAATTGTTTAACATAGGAAAGATAAGGTTAATAGGGAAATGTGATGTTTCAATAGGCAATTGAAGAAGATCCAGCTGATTTGGGGGATATGTAGGACCTAGTTCCAGTCCTGTGACCCATAGCTTTGCCTATCAAGACATTTGTTTTCTCAACTACTTTCTTCCTTAAAAGTGTGTTTGGAAAAAAGTATTCTGGGTCTCCCAAGAGCCTGTAGCCTGTTGTCTCCAACATATGCTCAGCCCCTTATTATGTGTCAGTGATGCACAGTGCCTAATCTCGAATGCAAACAACTGCAAAGTTAGCAGACCTTGCCAGACTTCAGTTGTAAAAGACAATTTTAGATACATGTCCATTCTGAAGACTATCAAGCATGTCATAATCTTCAAAGAATATCTCGCTCCTCACAAAGTAGTGCGACAAGCATTTTTATCTGTAGGTCTAGCCTAGGACTGCAGGATCATCCATACCAGTAAGAAGGTGGGATCTTTGCCTCTTTAGTAGTAGTTCCCATCTAAGAATTATGAGAAAGAGATGTTATCTAATCCAATCACACATCCTTAGGGAAATAGTTTGAGACTGCCGATTCATTTCCTATAAGATATTACATAAGCCTTTGGCTGTTGCTGACCAGACCTTTCCCTCTACACTTATGAACATCTCATAGTTTAGTTGAGAAAGATTAAATGTCTTGCTGTGGTCCTGCAGATACTGCTTGTTTAGCATAATAGAGATTACTAAATATCTTGAAATTTTAGGTTTTGTCCCAAGGATTTAACAATATCTTTCCTCTGTTGCCTACATCTACTATATAGGCAACATGAGTGTGAGTGGGCAATCAGGATTTGTTCTGTAGTTGATGCTGCTGTATGTTACTCCTGCAGATAAATTAAACTCCTGATCATGGATATTTTCATACCTGATATTTTTCATGGAGAACTGCTGCTCATTGGCTTAGTGTGGGTAAATTTAGAGTTACAGCTGAAATAACACTTTCCAATCTGCAGACAACTTCTGCGATGTAGGACAACAGTTCAGACCTTGAGCATGATTTTCCATAATCTTTCGAGACAGATTATGAAAGTTTGGCATATGCCTCAGGAGGAAGTTGCCTTTTCACTGGCTTTAGCACAGAGGTCTGGGCAAATTATCTCACTTTCTTAGACCTCAATGAACCTGTCCGGAAAAGAGAGTGAAGAGTAGCCTCTTGATGAAAATGAGCTGCTGGAAGTCTGTTTCGTTTCCCTTAGGAATAAGCTGTCTGAAGGTGAATTTCTGATGCCGTCGCGTTGCAGCCCTGCTGCCAGCCCTGCCTTCCTGCGCCCGTCTAACATAGCAGCAGAAATCTCGTATTTACCTTCAGTTCCAAGAAAAACTCAGATAGAAAAATGTAAACAGAGGGAAGCAGACGCCCCTCTGTTTAATCTTTACGCCCCTTTTTTCGCCAAGCGGTCACCGCAGTGCGGCCGCGGGACGGACGGTTCGGCAGCAGCACCGTGCCGACTGATGATACCCGGGCATTGCTCGGGAGCGGGACTCGCTCGCCGGGCTGCCCCCGCAGCCTGGGAGGGTGGCCATGGCAGGAGACGTGTGGTTGAACCCCCACCTGACCGAAGGATTCCCCTCGTGAAGGCGCGACGCTACAACCCCTCTCTGCGACATGGCAGCGGCTGCCGCCATTTCCACCCCCGGGGCCCCGGGCCCCGCCCGGCCCGGCCCTGCTCGGGGGCGGTGCCGCCGTCGCGCTGGTTCCTGATTCCCAGGGAGAGCCCGGCTCCGGCAAGTCCCTCCTCCGCCTCGGCAGTGCGGGCTCTCCCCCCCTCCCCCAGCCGTAGCCTCCTCCGGCGGCAGCGGCAGTGCCCGCCGGCCCCATGGCGGCGGAGCCGCAGCCCAAGGCGCTGACTCGCAAGCCTCTCCTGCTCAACAAGGTGGAGGGCTCGCAGGAGGTGGTGAATATGGCAGCGATAGTGCCCAAGGAGGACGGGGTCATCAGCGTCTCCGAGGACAGGTACTGGGAGCGGGCGTCCAGAGGTTCTGGGGCCGCGGTGATGGTCTGTCCCTTCCCAGCACCGCTCGCCGGCGATGGTGGCAGTGGGGGACCCGCGCCGCGGGATCCTGGGCGGGGTCCCCACCACCACCACCACCATCACCGACGAGCGGTGCTGGGAGGGGACGGGTCCTGCCGTAGTGGTTCACCACCACCGCCGGCGAGTGATGGTGCTGACAGACCAGCAGCATCTGTGACGGGACTGTACACTCCACCACCGGAGCCTGGGCAAGCGTCAGGGTGCCGGTGGTCCAGCATGGGGACATTGGTTTAGGCAGCCACATCAGGTCCTGGAGGGGAAGAAGCTTGGAGCAGGAGTCTCCAGCTTGGTGTCCCCTTTCTCCACCGCAGTATGGGTCAGGGCAGCGACTGGGCTGGAACGCTGCTAAAACTTGCAGGACTTGAGTGACTTTTTTTGACGTGGGTAAAATGGGATTTGAGATCCCCTTCATCACAAGGATTGCCGGGGAGGCTAGGGAGATCTTTGTCCTTTCCTAAAGATTGCGGTGACATTGGCTAGAACAGTAGTTTTGGTTCCCATTTCCCCTCTCCAAACGTTTCTTTGTAATTGTTTAAAAATACCATGTATCAGTGATAAGATCTTGAAGTTAAATCCCGTGTAAAGCCGCCAAAGAGGAGAATGCTTTCAGGCCGTTTAGCAGGGCCGTGTAGGGTCTGAGACTGCCCAGAGGCAACTCTGTCTCTTCTGAAAGATCTCAGACTTAATTCAGCCCTGCAGCTGGAGCTTCAAAACTCTTCAAAACAGATTTTTACTTTAACGGCTTGTTTTTCTTGTGGTGACCATAAATATTTATTTTAAGCAGATTTTCTTCACAACTCAGGTGCACGGTGTAACCTGTGTCCTAAGATTGGAAGACACAGTATGTCAGTGTTTGGATCATCAAGGGTATTTTGATGGACTGTTTCTCATGGATTTGAGTGTCTGCTTTTCTGTGTCTGTGAGCTTTCTGAAAAACAGTCAGTATTTCTTTCATCTTGTCTTTGTCCCTCCTGTGACTTAGTTTTTAGCTAACTGTCAAATATGTGCAAATTTAAGATCTTTTAAGTTCACCTAGGCTGAGGTCTCCAAGTGAACTCGTGCCTCGTAGCAAGAGGAAGTAAGATACTTGAAACAAGTACGCTGTCAAAGGGACTTTTAGCAGACTTTTACATTGCTATGTGCTCACGATTTTATTGTCTTTACATTTTTTATGTATTTGATGTGATGTTGAACAAAGCTTGTGCTTGTTTTGGTTCATTGTAGCTTGTTAGGCTTACTTGGCCAATTCTTTTTACCTCTAAGAAGGTATTCCTGAAATTTGTTTCCTCCCGTATAAGTGTCTCTCTCAATCTCTGCCTCTCCCCGTACCTTAGAAAAAAATAAGTAACTTTACTTGTTGATAATAGGTTGATGCTCCAGGCTGATATTTCTGTGTAGAGAAAGGGATTGATCAGACATGTTTGTTTTCACTAGTAACTGATACGTCAGGTTCAAGAAACAAACAGTGAAGAAGAAGCCAGGGGTTTCACACTAAGAAACTCCCTAGTTCATGAGCACCACCTTCATCCTTCCCATCCCACAGCAAATCCCTGGTGTAAGTCAGTTAAGTCCTGCTTTTTGATGAAAGCGGGTATAGAAATCTTCTACTAGAGTTGCTGATAGATGTCTAAAGTTTTGCTGGTGATATAGGATAGCTCTACAGACCTTAAAGTACTGGAGTAAGTCTGGAGGTTCTGGAGGCTGTTTTCTGTTTCAAGGCATTAACCAGATAATGTGCTTGCTTGTGGGCCTGTTTTGCAGTGTCCTTGAGATACTATAAACTGTGATCCTGCCTTTTATTTCTTTAGGCATGAAGATGCTGGTTGATGGCTCTTTCTTTCATTTTCTGCCTGCATTAGCATTTTTATTGTAATTAAAAGGTTAAAAATCTAAGACTTATTTGAAAGGAATAGCAGATTGGGAGTCTAATTTGGAGATTTTAGGATACCTGGGGTGAAAGCATAATTTACCAGACTTTCAATACCTGTGTATTATGATTAGGCTTGTGCAGACTCTTATGGTAAATTTTCTTTCTGGTAAATTGCCTTCTAGTGTTAGTGTTGATTTGGTTGTTTAATGGCTTTGGAATGTGAAGGACTTTTAGAGCTTCCT